CTGGCACCCCCCAGCTGCTGGGTTTTTTCCCTTTGGTGAATGAGAGCTGCCTCTTCATTGCCAGGTGCTCCCAACAGCTCTAAAAACGTCCCATGTGATGGCGTTCCCAAATTTCCAGAGTTCTCATCCCGCCTCCGAGACCAATTCGCTCTGAATTTGTCCCCTCACCACCCACCATTCTGTCATCTCTAAAACTCTATCAACAGAGCGTGTTTTCTGCTTGGAAAGCAGCACAAATTCTCTATCCCGTGGCTTTTTGTTGCGGGGTTTTCTTCCCCCTCTCCCACTGTGCAGGTCGGGCCGCTGTGCTCTGGGGCGGCTGCTCTGTGTCGGAGGAGGCCATTCCTCCGAGCTAACCGGGAGGGGGGCTTGTCCCCATGGCCCAGCTCCCAAGCCTGCCGCGCTAGGTGGCACGGAGCGGAGAGCGGGGATGCGAACGCCTTTCAGAAGCGGAGCTGGGTTTTGTTTGCTGGCATTTCCCCTCCGTCACTTGTGGGATCCCTCCTTTGCTGACCTGATCCTTGCGCTCTGCCCCGTCCCGCACCTGATGTAGGGTGACGCCTCTGGGGCTGGGAAGGAGAACGGGGTACATGGGGTCTTCAGAGAGGCGCAGGGAGTTTTTGCGTTCATGCTGCTCTGCGTATCACTGGGATTTCAAAGGCTCTTAAAGGGCAAAGCAAAGGCCTCGATCCCTGAGGCAGGGCGTAGCGACCGCCTCATGTAATTGACCGCTGTCAGAACAGGATTTGGTCGTGAATTCAGCTTGGGCCTTAAGGGCAGTGTTAGTTTACGTTAGAGCCTAGCGTTTCTCTAATAAACCTTGCAAAGGAAAATCTGCGTCGGGTCTTTTTTCCTCTTGGAGAGTTTTCTCCGTGGTTCCTCTCCTTCATCAGAAGGACTGGGAGCCGATGCCTGGCACGAGTGAGAACTTAGCTCTGGGTGGTCGGTGCCGATAGCTGGCTGCGCACAAAAGCAGTATTTTCAGGGTTTTTTAAAAAAATGTTTTCCTTTGAGTCAGCTTCACCCACTGCCGCTTCTCCGACTGCCTGAGGAACAATGGCTGCCCCTTCCTGACCCATCCTCCGAGGCTTTATGGAGCGCTGTATCGATTGAGCGCTCAATTACCTTTGTAAATTAACTTTTGATGCCTGGGCCTTGCAGAGCAGGACCAGAATCGGGTGCCAAAGCCGCTCCTGTGGTCCTGCGTGGGGCCCTTGCTGTGAGAGCAGCGCAGTGGGATGTCCCCCAGGCAGCGCCGCTCCTCGATTCTTATAGCAAGATAGATGCGCCGAGTCTCCTCTTGGGTTAAATCTTTTCAGTCATCATTTTGTTCGGTCGTTCCGACAGTGAACGTTGTGTTTGGATTCTGAAACAGCAGCGTGGTTTCTCACGTTAATTACTTTAAACTTGCAGGGCTTGTCGATGCGGCAGATTAGATTCAGATTTGACGGACAACCAATTAATGAAGGAGACACACCTGC